AAAAGAAAAAAAGAAAAAAAGGTGGGGGGAAGGGGTGGGGGAGCGTGCGCTGCCGGGGCTGCTGCGAGTGTAGGAAATGTGCTGCAAGGCAGCTAGACAGAGGAATGCAGCAGATTCATTCTTGTATAAGGTAATGTCTCGTTTACAGTGCAGGGTGGAGCCAGCGCGGAGGAGAAATCACTCGAAAACAGATTACTCATTTAAAACAAAAATTCTCCTTAAAATAAATAATAATAATAATTTAAAACAAAACAAAACAAAACAAAAAAACCCAAACAAACCAACCAACAGGCAAGCCGTGCGTACAGGCGCGCAACAAAGGCGACATTGTTGACAGCACCGGATTACAGTAGCGGTAAACTCCGGGCTGGGAGGTTGCTGGAAAATGAGTTTGCTCCGTGATGCAACTGGAGTTTGCTTTGTCTGGCCGCCAGCGCGAGTGGGGCGGTGGGGACGGGGAGCTTGGTGGTGGGGACAGGGAGCTCGGTGGTGGCGGCAGCAGTGTGCGCTTCGCTCTGTCCAGGGATGATTTCAGGCGGTGGGGGGGGATGGAGGGAGCGATGCCAGATCCTGAGCAGGCAGCAGAAATTGTGGGGGGAATGTGCATGGAGGGGGCGGGGAGAGCCTTTTCTTGTTTTGGTTTTGAACTGGTTATGGCATGATTCTCATTACATCAAGGAGTAAATTGCTTTTATTCAGTTGAATGTTGATTTTGTTATCGTTTGCAACCTAAACTAACCCCAGTGTGTTGGTTTTGGCGATGCCAGATCCTGAGCAGGCAGCAGAAATTGTGGGGGGAATGTGCATGGAGGGGGCGGGGAGAGCCTTTTCTTGTTTTGGTTTTGAACTGGTTATGGCATGATTCTCATTACATCAAGGAGTAAATTGCTTTTATTCAGTTGAATGTTGATTTTGTTATCGTTTGCAACCTAAACTAACCCCAGTGTGTTGGTTTTGAGTTTTTTAAGTGGGTGGTAAGAGAGAACATCAAACTTGGGGCTTTTTAGATCTTGATGCATCCTGGAGAATTAGGTTGGGTTAATTTATGCAGTGTTCTAACAAGATGCATCCAGACCTTTAAATAGACATGGACTGTATTTAAATACTGTTAATATAACTTCCAGTTACTCCAGATTTCTTAGCAAGGCAATATCTGAATATTAGTGTTTTGTCCCGATGATAATTAAAAATCAGAGTAGGAGCAGATGCTGGAACTCGAAATTGGTGGAAAATATATGCAGTCAAACAAGTCCAATGCAAAACATTTCATTAAATTCTCAGCTGTAGTAAAGGAACTCGTGGGAGCATGTAAACGTGGATTTGTATTTTAACTTGACCCTTTTCCCCACTGAGCAGCATCTTCTGCAGGCTCCACAGTGGTGTCCGCTGAGGTGCTTTCCTCTGGGGAGGGAAAGGGTTTGTCTGGAGCCTGCCTCCCTCTGCTTGACCTTCTCTTCCCTCTTTTCTTCTCCTGCTTCTTTTTTACACTTCTGTCTGAAAGACGGCTAGCTTTCCCAGCCCTGCTTGCCCTGCTGGGCTGTGCCGCTGAGCACATTCGGCGTGGGGAGAGCCTTCACTTCTCACGCTTAAGAATTTTCTCACTGGTGGAAACCTTTTGTTTTCTCTGTCTCTTGATCGGGCCGCCTCATTAATTATGTTGAAGGAGCACTTGGCAGCACCCCGACTCCCAGCTGGGGTCCCACACTGCACAAACTCGCAATGGGATCCCTGCCCCAGAGCTTATGGCTGATGTCTGGGGTGAGGATCAGTAGAGGGATAAAAGTATAAGGATGAGAAGTACAGCCAGGTTTGGG